TGTGTGGTTTTATGAAACCACGATGCAAGTTAAACTTTTCGGATTGTAGGCATATAACTGTAAATTTTCGGAAAATTATTCGATTTAGGGTATTAAAATTAAAATCACGTTCTTAATCTTATTTTAATGATTGAAAAATGGGAATGATAATGGGAAATCAATAGTAGATAAAATATCCAACTATAAATTTTAATTTCAATCTGCGTATGAGGGTACGGAATACATAATGAATACAATAATTTAGATGATAGACGCATGTTAAAAACTGAGAACAATATTTATTTAATTCATTTAATCATTTTGAACTTCAGTTATTCCATCAATAATTTCATCTTCGCTTTAAGTTTCACAGTCTATAAATGTAATTGTCTTGCACTTGCACGAATAAGTGAGAATATAAATGTCACAGGGTTAGCTCATGCGAGCCATGGGCACCGCCATATTGGCCTTGGCTGTTCTGCCGAACGCTTTTCAGTTTTACCCCTACTCCGCGGCCGGCTATAGTGCGACATGCGATAGATGGACGAAAAAATTTGAGGCGATGTAATAAAAGTTTCACATTAAAATGAGAAGCGCGGATAAATGCGGGATATTTGAAATAAGTCAAACATTTCTCTTTGCATATTGAATATTCGCAAATGTACAGGCGATAATTCTAATTCTACCTCTTTGATTAAAAATAAGTCTGTTCTTTTAGTTTCTTACTAACGCGATAAGTAGATTACATAATTAACATTTTATGAACAATGATTACTGACTAAACAACTCTTCAATAAGAAAAAATTAACTATAAGCGCAATATGTATATGTACATGCAATGAAGATTTAGAGACCAAATTTTTGATGGTTTGGAATGGAGCCACGACGCGGGTTCTTCGTGTTTGGGTTGAGTATCGGTAGAGTAGTGTCAGACCGGCTTTCGGCTTTTTTTAGAAGTTCTGGGGGTGCTAATTAGCATGGAAGTGTGAGAGGAAGTTTCGGACAGTAATTGTCTTAACCATAGAACGCCAATGTATGTAAAATTTACGTGTATCATTTTTTAAATATGTAACGGCACATCTCCAATAGATTTCTGTAACATGTGCTTCTAGCAGTGCTCTCCATACACCAGTAACCTACTACTGCTACTTCTCGGCAGTTGCACAGTTGTGGTCTCATCCTTATTATGAATACACTATACCCCTACACGTATATTTTACGTATGGTTAACATTTCCGTTAACTGACTTCAATACAATACATTAACTATACTAAAAATATTCTGTACTGTTTGTGGAGACCAAATAAAAAGTACTTATCGCTGCGTTTCATGAAACAAAACTACTATTTTGTTTGTTACTTACTTAATTTAATAATTCNCTTAACAGCGCGTTTTAGAAAATACCACAAATGGCGCGGTAAACGCCATCTGTAGTACGATGCTACATTTTAGGATTACGTATGCTCCAACAAGGTCCATTTCAATATTTGGATATCTACTTGCTGAAACGAATCCCGGCGTAGCTCACCTCAACGTGATAGGCACGTTACCATAATCGAATAAAATAATTCGAAGTGATCTGTATTCTACTACAACTCCTTTTTGTTTTGAGCATGCATATTTGATAGTCAGCTGTACCAATCAGAATCACTATTAAATACAAATAAATACTCTAACTACATCTCTATGGACGGACTACCAAGCACAAAAACCTTATCCGACGACTAGCGCAATATTCCTGTTAGTTTACTGCTCTTTTGTTAAAACTGCCATTATGTTTCTAAAGCTATTTTTATTAAAACTGTATGCCTAGTTATATTTTGTCCCTGAAAATAAATATTATTCTTCTCCATATTATTGCAATGAGAGATTAGTCAAAACGATGATATGATTAAGGAGGGGAAAGCGAATGTTCATATATATATATTCTTTTAATGAATTCCATTATATTTGAATGAATGGAATTAACGATATTTTTACATTAAAACTTTTTAACTATCCTCTTTCTAAGTATACATTTTCATGTAGGTACAATGTTTACGGTCGAATAAGATTGTAGATGAAAACGTTGAGCATTGAGTTAGAGATGCTTTTTCTCTGGGGGCATTATCGTTAGCCGAACGAGACGAAACCGTTTAAAGAAGTAATAGGTGTTCGCGGCAAAAATCATACGTTGTTTCCGGTTCTAACGTGCCGTTTTGCGAGGATTCCCGGCGGTATCGTCAATGATTCGCGCGGAATCGGACTGCTATCGAAAAAGAGAAGGGTTTCTTTTGAAAACGATTCCATAAGAAGTCGCCCCCCTGGGGAACGAACATACACTCCGATCTTTACCATTTCCGTAACGTTACCGCCCGTCGCGCCCTAGGAAAAGTCGGTTAGTAGCCATCCGTCTGGTTCGTATATCCAGCAAATTTTCCCTCAAGTTAAAAGTTCTTTTTTATTCCCTCGGCCAATTTCTCTTATGGCCCTTTTAACTTTGACTCTCGTCGGCCTACGTACGTATAACGAGCACACATACAACACTGTTACACCGCCCTATTTTTCTTCTTTTAACTACAGACAAAAGCAGTGACCACTCGTCTGGAAAATCGGTCCTTTTTACTCCGATATGGAGCGACGACAGAGCGCAATCCGTTTGGATCAATGCCTTTTCGTAACAGGTGCCCTTGCTGTGCGTAAAGGAACTAATCGAGAGTAATTTTACGAACGAAAATAAACGTCGTGCGTGTAACCTACCACGTTGGAAAGACTTTTTTCGGAAGGAACAAGAAACCGAAAAAGATAAAAATTTACATATACATCATCATCATCATAAGGTGGTCAGTCCTAAGATTGGTTGGACATGTACCTCCACCATTTCCTATCCTGAGGTATTCTTCGCTTTTCCTTGAGACAGGAACAACCTACATCCTTAACTATTTGCGAACAGTAATCTAATCTAGGTCAACCTTCCTTGCGGTTTCTGCCTCTAATATGTCTCTGACTAGACCTTCCTGCCTGAGAAGGTGTCCTACCAACCTATCTCACCTATTCCTTATTGACTTCCATAGAGTCCTCTGTTCTAATATTTTTTCTAACATCACTTTATTTCTAACTTTCTCTATCCACAGTTCCCTCATTATTCGCCTGTAACACCATATTTCGAACGCTTCTAATCTTTTCTTTCGGTCGCGTCCACCGTCCATGCTTCGCACCCGTACAGCACCGTACTCCAAACATACACATTAACAATCTTTTTCGAATTTCTAAATTAACTGTTCACGAGCATAACGATATCTTTTTATTGAATCCTATCCTCTGTTTTATATCTCTACTACTCTTTCCGTCCTAACCTATCCTGCTTCTTGAATACCTACAATCAGTCACTTCTTCTAATTTTTCGTCTCCTATCTTTATATTCGCTCTTTCACTACTTTTTTTTCCCTTACATACTAGTATTTTTGTTTTACTTTTATTTATTTTCATACAATACTAAAAATGCTGTCTCATATCTCGCAGATCTAAGCATACTAATCTTTAGCCCCTGTATATCTATCCCTACAGTTGTTACTGTCCTTAATGATGTTGATCGCGTCTTCGATATATAGATTAAAAAGTTGCGCTGACAATGTGCATCCCTGTATGACTCGCTTCCTAATTTTACTTCTCTACGTTGCAGCTCCAGCTCTATAACTAGCTGTTGCTCTTTATACAAACTAAGAATCATACTTCAATATCTGTAACTCATCCCGACATTTTTAATTATATTTAACATCTTGTCCCATTTAACATTGTCAAAGCCTTTTCTAAATCTACAAATCCTATGTAAGCACACTTTCCTTTTTTTATCGTTTTTTCTATTGTTACCCGTAAATCTAGAATGGCCTTCCGCGTTCCTCTATTTGTAACTAACTGTAAGATTTACTGTGATGAAGCAAACCGTTTTCTATAACTGAATAAATTCAGTATCTTCCCGTTTTTAAGGTATTAATTGTGATGGGAGATATTTCACGAACTGTGATTTATTCACTGACATTAGAAAATCACAGGTCATCTTTACTGATACTGATGTTCGCACAAAAATTTGACGTGATCACGATTTAATTTTTTGCATGATATACACATGGGGGCTTTCACTTCACAATCGTTTATAATTAAGTTCTACCTATGCTCTACCATTAAGCCGATTTTCGTATAGCTCCATTAGAATTTACATGCGACCCAAGCAACCTCGTGCTTTAACTGCTGCAAAATCCTGTACAGTCAACTTTTCCGTAACGCCATTACAAATACATGCAACGCAAGCGATTTCGCGCCATCTGTGCGTTTCCGTTGCCACTTTTGCGAGTACAAGAAGAACATTTGCAAAAGAAAACATTGATCACGTCACAATTTAAGATCACTGATATAAAAAAATCTCAATAGTGAATCACACTAGGTATTAGTGTGAAAGTAAAGTTAGAGTTAATATACAAATTGAATATAATTGAAAAAGAGGTAACTACAAAATAGGAAACAACGCAGGGTCAAGTCTCTTTTATCAAAAAGAAATCACGTCTATGCTTGAGAAAGGTCAATTTATAAAAATGAGAAGTTATCAAAAGTGTATATTTGGAACACAGCTCCATGCGGGTTCAAATCGTGGACGGTAGGAGGCGCGGAGAAGGAAAGGTTACTAACTTTTGAGTGGTAGTACTATTGGAGACTGGTGAAAATACCGTGAATAGAAAAAGTTATAACTGAGGAGGTATTAGCAAATGTTTCGGAAGACTTTCAAAAATGAAAAGGAGAGATGTACATACCTAATGCAAGCAAAAACAGGAATAATAAGCGTAGAGGAAGATCAATTTCGCTTCTTCGACTAACTCCGATTTTGACTTTTCTCTACCTACGAAAAGTGCGTGTCTTACATTCATCAACATCAATTCAATAATATAATTTTCCCAAACTTTCAACTGAATAAATAGTAAATATCTGCATTTGTATAATGATTTCAAGTTTTAAATAATTGTTTATCATTTTTATTTCTTTTATTTCAGCATTTTGACTGCCGAAACCATATACGAGTTATACAACCAATGGGAGATGGTAGTCGGCTTTACCTATGTGGAACCAATGCACATAATCCCAAAGATTGGGTAGTACATGTAAGTTTTCTTTTGAAATATCCGTACTTTAGTTTATTCATTAAATTAGATATATAGGCGTACGTAATAACCAAAAGGAATACTTCTAATAGTCATGCTTATCATGGTTACATTCATAACATAAATTCCGTTTGTATTTATTCGTCAGTAATTTTACACTGTCATCGCTACTTTTTAATCTATATATCGAAGACGCGATCAACATCATTAATGATAGTACAACTGTAGGGATAGGATATACAGGGACAAAATATTCGTATGCTTAGATTTGCAGATGATATAGCAGTATTAGCATCTAGCAAGGAGGATTTAGAGATAGGTTTAAATAAAGTAGAAGCGGTATCTACAAAAGAGTATTGTATGAAAATAAATAAAAGTAAAACAAAAATACTGGTATGCAAGGGAATAAAACGTAGATGAAGAACGAATATAAATATAGGAGACGAAAAATTAAAAGAAATGGCTGATTTTAGGTATTTAGGAAGCCAGATAAATCAGGACGGAAGGAGTAGTAGGGATATAAAGCAAAGGATAGTGCAGGGTTGAGTCGTCTTCAGTAAAAAGAAGTCACTTCTATGCTCACGAACGGTTAATTTAGAAATTCAAAAAAAAATTGTTAAAGGTGTATGTTTGGAACGCGACGCTGTACAGGTGCGAGTCATGGACGGTAGGCGCTGCGGGAAAGAAAAAGTTAGAAGCATTCTAAATGTGGTAAATAAGGAGGGATGCGAATGATGAGGATACCGTGGATGGAGAAGGTGAGAAATGAAAAGGTAACGGAAAGAACAGGAGAACAGAGGATTCTACGGAAGTCAATAAGAAATAGGCGAGATAAGTATGAAAGTCTAGTCAGAGACTAGATTAGAGGCAGGAGTTAAGAGGAATAAATGTAGAAGTAGATTAGATTACTGTTCGCAAATATTTAAGGATTTGGGGAAATGCGAAGATAGGAAAGAGTGGAGGTGCGTGTCCAACCAGTCTTAGGACTGACGACCTTATGATGATGGGTTTTACTTTACTGTTTTTCTAGACACTATACAGCTGTACACATTAGTTTGTTTAACAAGAAATTTACAATTAGTGACTACGCTACTGGTTATTGCTGAGTACCTAATTACCGCTAATCATAAAGCAGAAACAATAATAAAAGCAATAAATGTAACAATAATAATATCGTGATGATAATGCTAGGTAAAATAACGACAAAAATATTTCTAGGGAAACTGTAGTGGAAGGTGTAGTCACTAAGTGTTTTGAATATTCATTCTAAATTTTCCACGCTACGCCACGAAACAAGGGAGCAACATGCTCAATGTCATACCTTGTATTCATCGGCAAAGCCCTAAAATATGACTGACAATCACAACTGTCAAAGATGGCTAACAACAGCTGATAGCTATTAACTTTTCCCCGCCTACAACAAGGAACAACGCCCGTCCAGTAACAAATTTATGTCGGGAAAATTCACTACCGACGGGACTATATAGTAAAGGATGAAGATGAACCTTCATATGAAAATGCATGGGATTTTTCGCTAAAACAAAGTCTGCCTGTCTATTTCTGCCCCAGTCGGCTACGAGTTATGGCTTTTAAATCTCCCTACAGGTCGTTGTCAGTAGTTAGAGAATCCTTAACTAGCAACTAAGTAAACCGATGCGAATGTAACGATATTAATTTGAACTTTGCTGAACACAAACTTTCCGACCTTCGACAGACAAGCTGATGAGCTTGCGGAAGGAAATTAACTTTTGTACAGTTTGTCTTCTGTCTATGTATGAACATTTGTAGATACGTATATGTGTGTTCACCGGAAGGAAATACGTGTGTATGCACACGCGTAGACATAGGTACATGCATATACGTACGTACCGAGCATATGGTCCTCATCTTCCACGATCAGTTAAAATGATCGTATGTGCAGATCTGAACACACAAAGTTAAGTTTATACTGTATGTAAACCATCAAACTAAAGTCGTTATGTTGGGGTATTCTACGCCGATTATTAAATTAAATCCTCGGTAATACTAACTGGCGAAGGATTTCAATACATTCAAATTAATAAATCAAAGTGAACTGGTGAAGTATACGAAGAAACCTTAAACATGTATTTTTTTTGTTTTTTGAAGTAATTGCATCAATTCCCCATTTCACACCACCAGGGGTTGACTTTTGAAAAATCCTTTGTTGGTGCACCTCTAACTCACCATAACAAACGTATTCTCCAAATTTTATGTTTTGTACCTTCAGTTGTTTAGGTCGTACGTTGTTTGGCAATGAGTCACAGAACTGTTTTATACATACGAAGGATTCAAAAAGGCTTTTACAACTTTGAAAAGTCACATGAAATTCAGGGAATCTACAGAGCTGATTGTAGTGTCAATTTGAAAGGAACCACATTATGTTTTGACTCGCATAGTTCGCTAGTATCAAATTGCATCGGAATGAAAGATGGCTACCTTCAGTGGATCCGAACGCGCTGGCTGTGTGTTTTGGTTTAAAGTCGGTGACAATAATTTTCCGTATCAAGTACGCTAAAGATTCTCCTAGTCGGCCTACAACTTATGAGTGGCATAAATATTTCATAGAAACATGGTGGTCGATAGGACATAAGAAATCATCAGATTGTCCAAGCACATCTGACGAAGTCGTTGAGCAAGTGAGATAAGGTTTTGTCAGCACTCCTGGCCTGTTTCTAGTAAGTATTTTCCGAAAATGAAGAGTTTTTATTTTTTATGTGTTCATTATATCTTACTTGAAAATTTCTTCCTGTTTGGCCTATGTATTTTTAGGACTTTGGACTTATATCCTCCCGAATTTTTACAAACAAATCTTTGGCCTTCCTCTGGGCTCACCAATTAGTCCACTTCTAGCAGATATTTATATGAATAGACTGGAAACAGAATTTTTAAAAACAGATCAAGCTAAAAAACATATCATTTTTTGGTTTCGGTTCGTCGACGATATACTAGTCGACTTCAACGGTACACAAAGCAACTCGAAAAATTTCATAACCTACCTAATACTATTAGCACCACCGTTTACTGTAGAATCCGAAAAACAAAATAAAATTTGTTTTTTAGAATTGGAAATTACATGAGATGTCAACAAATTTACTTACAACATATATAGCAAGCCTACTCAAACGGATACCATCATCCCTTAAAATTCCTTTAATCCAATTTCTCATAAATTAGCAGACTACCATTCAATGATACATAAAGCTTTCAGCATCACCCTGTCCTCAAAAAAATATTTAAAAAGAGAACTATACATTATAAAACATATTTCCGCGAATAATTCAGTACCCATAAAAATTATAGATAAGTTAATCCATAAAAAACTGATGTCAATAAACGAAAAGGACTTTATCCGAAAATTCATCCACATACACAACACTACGTTTCTTTCCCATACACAGGCTCAATTTTACATTAAATATCAAACATATTTTCTAAATTTAACCTAAAAACAGCCTTTTCTAACCATATGAAACCCTATGACATTGTTAGCTACTAATAGTAGTCAATATACAATATTAATTTGAAATCAATTTTCGATTTTTTATCCACTACAAACTTTCCTCAGATTAATGAGGAAAAAATCTTTGATACTGTTGTTACACCCCCGCCGCGAATCGAACCTGGGACCTTTGGTTTTATGCAGCAATACTCTGACCACTAAGCTACGAGATATGACAACAGCAACCACGACAAACCGACCTACAAGGGTAACGATCCGTCGATTTTTATTAACGTAATTATATATATACTAAATATATGAAACCCTATGGCATTTTTAGCTACTAATAGTGGTTAATATACAATATTAATTTGAAATCAGATTAACTAATTTCTAACCAGAAAAATATCAGTTAATTATTCTTTAATGGTAAACAAAAACATTTTGAAAAAATCTGGAGTATATATAGTAGATTTGAGTATAGCCAATGCCCCAGAAACTACATAGGCCAAACAGGAAGAAATTTACAAATAAGATGAAATGAACTCATAAAAAATAAAAACACTTCAAATTTCGGAAAACACCTACTAGAAACAGGTCACACACTTCAGAACCGTGCTCCCAAAATGTTGTACATTTGTAACAAAAGATGGAAACTGAACTTAGAATCTTTAAAAATAAACCGTGTTAATAAAAACAAAAGTTTGATAACTTCGATAATGACCAAATTGATTTAAACAGTTCACCATTCACGGTTTCCTTATTCGTGGGTGAAAAAATTGCAAGCCAGTTCCTGTATTCGCGGCTAAAACTTTCATGATTCGCGACTGCAATCTGTAAACAGTAAAGGATTCGGTGTTATTTTTCAACGTATAAGCATCTTTTGAGTACGGTTGGCTCGTGCCGAGGCGACTTTTATAAAACTTTCATGATTCGCGACTGCAATCTGTAAACAGTAAAGGATTCGGTGTTATTTTTCAACGTATCAGCATCTTTTGAGTACGGTTGGCTCGTGCCGAGGCGACTTTTATAAAAGATGTAACCAAGTGGACTAATTTCAAAATTCAAAACAAGAAAAAATCACTAAATTTTTTAAAGACTTGCCCAAAGCTGATTATAACGATTAATTTTAAATGCGAATTTTATTTTGATACCTATTGGTGGTTGTATTATGGAATCTTAGAACGTATTTTCTGTATTCGCGGCATATTTATGGAACGTGTACCCCGCGAATAAAGAGCTTTTACTGTATTTTAAACAAAGGGGTACAATCCAGAATCCCTTTAAGTAACCTCATATTTATTTCTGGGAACCCCATACAACACGTACACTGTACACAAAACGGTTCCTATACTTGCATTCACCCCCAATTCGTTTTTTCTGCATAGCAGTTGTATTTGTTAAAATTTATGTATCTGATTCTTGAAAATGTCCTAATAAAGACGAAACTAGTCGAACAAACAATAAACAGCGTTTTATTTTTAATGTTAAAGTGAAGTATAGAAAAGTTACAAAAATTAAGTCATTTGTATTAGATGTT